AGAAAGATAGACTGGAAATCTCTCCATTGTCTTTAAACTGCTGAAAACTGGGACCAAGTTTGAAACCCATGGCTCCCACCTGTCCACTGACTGTGATACAGGACTGTTACAATGGACAGTACAGTGACACACATGGTGAGATCTGCTTAGACCAGCATATAAAACTGCTGCCACCACTGTAGTTCCTTCTATAAAAGGAAAAGTATTATGTACAATATTTAAAAGTTAGTTCTGAAACGAATATTTTAATTGGCTTAACATCTTGGTTTTAAAAAAGAAAAACTTGAATGTAGTTTGGAGAAGATGGAGAATTATCAGCCACTGAGTAGGTGGCTGCTTAATAGGTCATCCTGCTGTTGGCTCATGGAAATGATTTCCAGCCAGCCACTCTGTGCGTGTGGAGCAGCAGAACATCCTGGCTTCCCAAGACCAGTAAGACCTTGGCTTGTCGCACTTGCCTGGGTTGCTCCCTGCCCCAGAAGAGCTGGCCAAGGACTTGAAAGCTCAGGGCAGAGTTTCCTGAAGAGTAGATCAGGAGCTGTCCATGTCTTAAACACTAGTGATGCTTATTAAAATGAAATTTGTGGCTCTGTGCAGACATTAATACTGAACTTCTGAGTCCAGAGATAGGAATGCAGACAAACTCTCCAGGTGCTACTGATGCGTCCTTACATGTGAGAACCAGGGGCTTGGCTTCCTGAAGCCTCTTTGACCTTGAATGGGGCAGAAAGATGGTTCATTGGACTGTAATTCATAGAGAAAAACTCCTGTATTATCTGGAAGAGAGGGCTGAATCACCTTAAGTCCCCTGCTGCTAACAGGTTCCCAGAACAGTGGTTTTTCCTGGTCCTATAGCCTCCCAGTACACTTGCAGTCATCTTCCCCGCCCTGGCACCCCACCCACCTGGCACAGTACCAACGCTGCCCAAGTCTAGGCTCCATGGGCAAAGCTCTGGGGAACCAGGCAATGCAGGTGATAGGTTGCGACCAATACAATTGAGAACATGATTAAATATTGGCTCTGGGGTCAGAGGCCTAGTTTTGAATCTCAGTTTACCACTCACCAGCTGTTGCTGCAAACAAGTTTGACCTAAGGGCCAGGAACATAGCTCAGCAGTGTAAGTGCCTGCCTGACAAGTACAAGGTCCTCAGTTGAATTCCCAGAGCCAAAAAAAATTTTTTTGGCCTCTTTATGCCTCAGTTTCGGTAATATCAGGACTTCATAGCACCTGCCTCAGAGGGCTGTTATGAGGCATCAATCGAATAATGTACTTAAAGCAATCAGGCATCTAATGCATGTTTTAGGGTTCTGTTACATGGGGAGGAAGTGGGAACCACGGCATGTGAAGAAAACTTGAGAAGTAGAGAACTTTGTCTTGGAGAAGTATTACTGGGAAGACAACATTTCCCAATATATTAATGGTTATTACTCAGGAAGACACATTTAGGTTGGTACAATTCGAAGTGCTAGGACGGGAAGTAGTTGTGAAAAGTAAAGCAAAGTGCAGTGAGCATACGTATTAACTCCCTGTGACGAGTACATTACTTATGTATCACAAACATATTAATAAAAAGACCTTTTGCAAATGGGAAGCAGAACAAGAGAAGGAGCAGGGGGGAATGGGAAGGGCAGGGGATGTAAAAGAACCATGATGTGTTGCTCACCGATTCCCCTTGATAAATACAGTCATTGTGTACTGCAAATATATACTAATATAAAAAATTTTAAAGGGAAGTGAATTTTCCTTCAACAAAAGGTAGCACTTGAAAAAGAAGCTGAGGTGGCCAGACACAGAGCAAGACAATGAAGAAGCAAACTCTGGGCTGGGAGGCAGAACGGTGAAACCTGAATGGTCTCTTTCAGTTGCAATCCTGTGTTCCATGATGACAAACTTATTTAAAGATTATAAGGTCCACTACAGAGAGGGGAAGGTGTGAGGTCCCTGCAGTGTGGCTCCTAGCTGGTTTCCGACTTCAAACTCCAGGACAACCCACTTCCCAGTCAGCTTGCAAACAAAATCTGTCCCCTGTAGTTTTATTCACTGATACCAACTTTGCTGCTGGGGCTAGAAAAGATCAAGAGTGGGATCTCTTTCATACAGTCTGTCAAACACTTAAAGACAGTGTGCGCTAGCTGCATTCCCCTCTCCCACATGCCCTCAGATCAACATTCCCGGTTCCTGTCTCAAAATCAACTGCTGTAAGCTGGATAACATAGTGAATGCTTTATTAGGTACAACCTCATCAACCTGAAATGTGTCTACACTAGGCTGGGTCTTATTCCATCTAAGAGTCTGTTAAGCACAGTCATTGTCTAAGATTGCAGAGCAACGTTTAAGGCTCTTAACAGTCAAGCGCTTCACCAAAATTATCAGGTCGGTTACAAATCCACCCTACTTCTTTACTAAGAAAGTGACTAAGACACCACCTCCAGGCAACTATAAGTAACTTAGTTTGCTACCTGAATAAAACTCGTACTTTCTAAGAGCTTTCACTCTCAGGAAAGTAGGGTAGGGAAGGAGGTGAGCATGTATGGGACAGGTGGTTTGGGGAAGGAAATGATTTCCTTGGGCTTGGTCATGGGATCCTGAGGGCAGCTCACCTAAACGTGCATGGAGAGCTGAAAGCACTTTAGATGCGAGAACGTGGAGCTGTTGGTGTGAACTGAGTAGCCGGTCCTCTCCCAAGCCACCTGTGCAAAAAGGGGCTGGGTTTTCTTGATAGACAGTCATTCTACAGTGCTTTTCTTACAAAATGTCCAGGAGAGCTCTGAGGGGGTGGGCCCAGTAGACTCAAGAATATGCTAACAAGATCTAAAAGCTGTGTAGGGAGAGCAGCCATTTAAAATAGCATAGCACTTTGAGTAAAGAAAAGGAACCACAGATGCATTAGCAGAACATGTGATACAATCTCCAAAGGAATGTATTTATCTAAAGGCATAGAGTAAGGTACCCAGAGCTTAGGGCGATCATTCAGGCTGAACAGGGGTCACGAGAAGGGCAGACTGAAGGATACAGTGAGCTGCGTATGTACCTGGCAGAGGGGCTGGTTAAGAGGCATGAGTTGGGAGTCGGTAATGGAAGGAAATTTGAGATGCACGTTCACAAGACCGAAGCAAGTGTGATTTAAAGGGTATAGTGTGACATGTAATAAGAGAAGGGGTAGGCAAAAAGCTCTCTTGTTCTCAGACATAATGACTCAGACGCAAAATGGCAAAGTGGAAGATGCCTGATTTGAAAGAGTGAAGGACCGGAAGGACACGCTCTGGCCAGGTATCAAAGGAGCACAATGCAGAACGGGGAGCAATAGAGGGCCCAGGCAGTAGGAAACCTCTTTAACCAGTGCTGTAATTACCCTCAGAAAAGACTGCCAGTGTCTTAACCATTTGAGCTACAGCTTGTGTAAAGGACAGAGGATAAACCACCCTTTCTTTCTCCACTTCTCTCTGGCCAGTAGCACAGAGAATGGGTTGTGTGCCACATGACCACTGAAGTAAAGAATTTTTAGTAATATGGGCCAGGTAGGACAGCTGTGAATCTTGCTTTCTGGGTACTTTTGAGGTTTGGTTAGGGTCTTGGAGATTTGGGTGGGAAAGCTGGACTGAATTTGGAATTTAGTAACTTAAAATTCAACAGGTCCACCCTGGAACAGTCTCCTGTCTCCATCCCCAGTGTGACTGATGTGATGGCTGAGTAGCTTGGATGGCTATGGTTTCATTGTCACAGGCTTTACACATACGGCCCCATTTAATCCTCAAAACAATGGCACTGTTACCATGTGCTAAATGAGGAAGAGGTTAGGTAATTAACCTAAGGCTACTAACGCTATTTTAATAGATAGATTAACCTTAGTCTAAGTCAAATGTCTTTTTCATTAAAGTATGATTCCCATGGACAGGTCATTAGTGGCAAAGCAAAGTCTATGCTACATTACTCTGGCATTATTTTCCAGCTACACAGTCTAACATAGCCAATTCTATTAATGGTGTTTCTAAGCTGTGCAACCTGTACTTACGCTCAATTTTGTTAATTCTGGGGGAGCAGCACCTGATAGTTACCACAGAGTGTTGAACTACGAGATTAGAAGTAGATTAGGGGGCTGGGGATTTAATTCAGCGGCATAAACACCTGCCTTGCAAGCAGGCAGTTGTGAGTTCGATCCCTGGTACCGATTAAAAAAAAAAAAAAAAAGTGGATTAGGATTCTTTCTACTGGAGTATTTATTTGCCTTATTTCTTTTGCCTGTGAACCTATAGGAGCTGGGAACCCCACTCCTTTAGCGCCTGCTGCAGAAACGGAGCACAGCCAACTGGCCTCTCTAGAGCCGTCCTGGAAGAACATCTTCCATCAACACAGGCCAACAGCACCTTTTCCTGGGAACTCCCCCCCCACAGGCCAAGCCCTCTAGAAGACCCTCCAAATCCTGCTAGCAATCATAATCTAAGCAGACCCCTTTCATGTGTCAGTCATAATTCCTTGTGGCATCCACTCTCATGCTAGACTTATAATCCTAGAATATGTCACATTGTTGAGCCAAATAAACCGAAGAAACTATCAGCTTTCAATTAGTGGCACCACTAGAGAGGAACAGTGATGTGGTGTTAAAAAAGGGTTCCATTTGACTTCAGAAGACATTGATTTTTTTCAGGAGATCAACTTTTCTAATTATATTTTGCAGTCTAATATTAACAGGCATTTTGTATTCCCTGAGCACACAGCATCTGGCACTGAGAGTTAGGGAAAATCTATAAGGGGATAATGAAGAGGCAACAAATTAAAAAGTATCCTGCAATATAAAGTCATAAGCACAGAAGGTAAAACAGGCATTCTCTATGGATTTGTGAACAGAGTAAAAATTTGTAAAATTCTGAAAAGGACAGAAACTTTCAAGAACCAACTCCAGTGATAACAGAACATGATGAAAGAACAGGATGCAAGGAGGATCAGTGAGTTACTAGGTGGTCTTTCAAATAAGAAACTGCAAGCAATAACACCAAAGCGTTTTAAAAGAGCATTTAAAATTAATTTTATTGTTTGAATTTTACAAGTAGTCTTTAGAGGCTTCAAACAAGAACTCTGTTGCAAAACTCTAATAAATAGCTTGCCCCAAGTCCCCAAAGAAAATAGAAAACAAAATGAAAACAAAACTCAGAATAAGCAAGACTTCAGAATGCTTGGATATTAGCAGTATTTCTCATTTACAAAGAGATATCGCGCAATGTACAATCTCCTTCATACAAGTTAAAGAAAGAAAGAGACAGATAATTGAAATCATCATAAAGCATTCCGAAATCTTCCTATTTCCATGATAGAAATATTACTAGGAAAAAATTCCATGGAAAAATTACAATCAAGAATGAAACTGTAGCATAAAGGTCTGCTAGTGGGTGGGGTGAAAGAGTAAGAGTGAATTCGCCCTGTCTCTTTCAGGGTTGGAGGGAGGCCCGAGTTGAGACTATTTAAGGAAGGAAACTTCCAAGCACATGCTGCTAGCTTTGCCGAATGTTCCCTTAGACCAGAGTTGCCACTGAAGGGGTGGAGGGGTCAGTTTAATGGCAATCATGAAGGCAAGAAACAAGAGGGTCTCCTCAGGCCAGTCAACATTCATTGGCCCCCATGTCTCTGCTCTGTAGCAGAGAAGGCCCAGGGCACCAAAGCAACCTGCATCACTAGACAGGAAAAATAGCACATTCATAATTTCTGCAGCAGAATCCTTTGGATGGCTACAAAAGGATGCAGAAAATGCCGTGCTTACATTTCACACTGGGACATGCAGATTTCCAAAGCTCATTCTATTACAGTCATTGCTCTAATAAACAACAATTAAAATTCATGACTTAAGGTCTATTATTAGCTTTTCCTAGTTGCAAACACTGGTGAAGTCTTGCTTTGGAATGAAGGATTTGTTAATATAGTTATTTGAATAAACTTAAAAGTTTTGCTATATCTGTAACAATTTCAAAAACTATATATTTTTACTATGATGCACTCAAAATGCATACAAATAAAGTTACGGTGTGGAGGAATTTGGGGCCAAACTAACCTTTGGAGCTAGGAAGCTGTGGTGGTTGATACAGTTTGGTGGGGCTCACTTCAGCCAAACAAAACAGTCCGATCTCTGAGAAGTGCACCTGGAACCATCTTCCCAGGGAAAGGAAGGGCAGGGAAGTGATGTTATAATGCAGGACCAGATGGGGGGTGTGGCAGCAGATCAGCCAGTGCTTCTGGTTTGCCTACTGGCTGCTGCAAGATGAGCTTGCTGGTCTCTGGAAGACACGTACAAACAGCACCAGCTCACACACAAATCCTTCAAGGGAGGTTGACTTTTTCTCAAAGCTCCTCCCTCTCCAGGCATTTTACAAAGAAATATGCCGCACTACTCACCAAATAAACAAGTTTAAAAAACAGTTTTCCTGGGAACAGCGACATTTGTCAGGGTAACAGGGAAAGCTTGGGTTACCTGAAATAGAAAGCTGATGGGAACAGGCAGAGAGGCCAGGGGGGGTGCCCTGGGCTCAGGTCTGCTTTGCTTTTAAATACATAACAGATAAAGCTATTGTGCAAAAAAATAAAGACATTCACATTTTAGCAGTTAAACTTTTATTTTACTTTTTAAAATTTTTATTTACTTTGTTTTTCTTTTCTACAAAAGGCAGATAATGATTGCTGATCTGCAATTGTGTTGTGCACTCTCTGGAAGGGGCAAAGTGGGTAGCTGGGAAGGTGCTCTGAGAATGCTTTCGAAGGTGTGAAGGATAGGCATGAAGGAAGGTCCTGTCCTCCTCGCTGTCACTAGCTCATGTCAATGGTGTTGAAGACCCACTCCGTGAATTTCTTCAGCTTGTCTGAGGCGTTCTGGGACTCCTCTTGCAGCCGCAGATTGTCTTCTCGAAGATGCTGAACCTCTGCCTGCAGGTGGGCTTTGTCTTCCTTTTCCTAGGAGGGAGGAAGTGGAATTAAGCTAGAGAGAGCCTCAACTTGCTCCACTCCTAGAAGTCGCTATGGGAGTTCCCATTCTTCACCTCACCTTCACCTGTATGCATCTGTTGCTGCGGGCAGAACCACTCTAGGCCCAGGGATCAGGGTTAATCCAACTCTACAGGATTAGCCCAGAATGCAAATACATTGATGTGCATTTTAAAGATTCTTTGTTAATCTTGAATTTTAGGCCATTGTTTTGGTGACTACCTTGATACCCAAGAAGCAAAATATTTAATAATTATGGTGCAAAAGATCAAATAACAAGGACTCATAAGCGTATGGGGTACTAATATATTATACAGAGTTGGGGAGGCTGAACAGGGTTCCGAGGGGCCTGGCTGAGGTTCGGTGTCTTTCACAAAAAGGGGAACAGGTTTTCTTTTCATGTGGCGAGGCCTTTTTGCACCATGAGTGTCTGGGGGACTTAGCCACTGAACGTGTGTTCAGAAAACTCTCACAGGGATAAACACCCACACCAATTCCACCAATACTGCTTCAGCAGGGCTCGCACAGTTCCGGGCAGTGTGCTCCCACACACGGGCAATGCACTCTCAGAACAGGTTTACCTTCTTCAGATCCTCACGAAGCATCTTCAACATCCCTTCCAACTGATCCACTTTAGAAGCCAGAGTGGGTGAAGAGTCCTTACTGCTGGGAATAAGAAACAAAAGGCCACATTGGCAGGAACCTCCATGGCTGGTTTTTCTTTTCTTTCTTTCTTTTTTTTTTTTTTTTTTTGGTTGTCTTTTTTGTTTTGTGAATCTGGCGACACAATGTGCATTTTTATTTTAAGAAAGAAAATGGTGATTTAATAAAAGGTTAATACAGGCTTGAACAATAGCCAATCAACAGCTTCCTTTGTTAAACTGCTGCATCTTCTAACAAAGAAATGCCAATGAGCAAGAAAGGTCTCTGGCAGCCCAAGGGGTACTTTCTGGCAACGCAACACAGACATAATAATTAAATGGTCCAGTGACTTCCCAGGGATCTCTGAAGTAGGCTTCAGGATGGCTCCTCCTGGAGGTGAGGGCTGATGCAGCCTCTGCACTGGGGCTGCCCAGATAAGGCAATCTGGTTTCCAAGATGGGCTGGAGTCACCTGTGGAGCTGCAACTAAGTTATCCTGCCCACATCTCAACCATTAATCTCAGTATCTTAAAAGTATTTTAAAAACAATCAGCAAACAGTTCACTTTTTTACTCACATTTTATTTAAGTGCTAATACTGCCATGCCAAGGTGGCTGCCACAGGGCAGACGGCTACCAACTGGTCAGACAGGACATGTAGGACCGAACTCCTCTGTTGGCATGCTCTCTATCTGTCTTCTACCTGAGTCCAAACTGTCTGCAGTTTTCTAGTGAGTTTCAGCCACATCCTACGGCCCTGGAGTCACTGCAGAGATCCTGACATCTTCCACAGGGAAAGCAAGCAGCTGCCTCTGCCCAGAGGTTAAAGAGGAAGTGGTGGAGACTCTGAATCTTCTCTGTCATGGGATGAAGGTATTCCTCAAAAGTCACAGTTCAAGTCAGAGTCCTTGACTACAGTGAACTGTGTCAATGTTTTGTGCTTATTCTGTTTACAAGAAGCTCCAACAGGAGTCTGACAAGGCTGCTGATGAATGAAGAATGAATGACTTCTAAACTTCTAAGACAGGGCACCAACTAAAAGCTAACAATGAATGGGTGTTAAAAGGGAAGTGGTTGACTGCATTCCACAACTACACATTGTAGTTAATGGATTGTCAGTTCTGAGATGAGCCAATGCCAAAGATGTGGAGAACTAGGGGAGGCCAGCGGATGGGGAGCAGCATGTCCTCCACAGAGCCAGTGCAGGCTCTCAGGACAGACACCACTCTCAGGAGCCGATCTAGACTTCTAAACATTCTTCAAATGAATTGTATCTCCGAGAGTGCACTGACAATATTGAAAAACACATGCAGGGTGATAAATGGTGGATATAAAATAATTTACTACATAAAAAGACACATTGCCATTAATCCCCCTCAAAATAGGCAAATACTCAACACAAACAAAAAAACTTCCTCCTGACTAGAGCATACCTATTCCGTTGTCTTAGCAATGTGTCTTTTACTGTAATGTTCTTAAAGAAATTTAAACATTCACTGTAGTTTTCAGTCAAACCTTGTACTTCATCTATATTTGTTCAGTCCATACTGAAAAAGACAAAGGCCAACTGTCACTCATTCTATGAGTTTATCCATAATGATTCTTTCTCAGACTTGTCTTTGTTAGAGACCTCATTCTAAGCTTATTTTGGCTTCTCCTTTGACTCTGCAATTTTTTTTAAGTGCCTGAGCACTTACTGATTACTGGTTTCTGATAACCAAATTTACTGCCACTCTGTTTGCCCCAGCCGTCCAAATGATAAGAGTGAATGTGGCATCCACCTCTTAGCACTCTGGGACTCTCTCATTCTAGGAGAGTTGTTTAGGAGTCCTCGGGTTCTGAGTCCCACAACGCATCAGCACAACCACATCAGTTTTGCTTTGCATGGGACTGTTTCACCACGTTTTACAGATACCTGGATTCATAATCAACCTCAAAGTCTTAAGAGAAGAAACTTCAAATCTGCAGCAAGAGATGTTTACTGCGTGTTCCATGGCTGGCCACAGTAATGCTTTAATATACAGGAATATTACACGTCTATCCTAACAACCTTACCATTTTAAACAAGGAGGCAAATAAAGAATTCAGTCTCTGCACATTAAATGGAAGCCATAAAATCTGTGCTCTCCACTCAGAACACCCATGGACCTTAGTTCTTGCTTACTCTTTATTACCCTGTATTTTACACACATTCTGAAATACATTGATGGTCCTGCTTTGAGACACTGGGGACTCAGGAGGTCTGAGGCAGTGCACTGGGAACTACAAGACTTGAAACAAGACTTGCACACTTAAAATGTGGCCATCAAGGCAGCTGCATACGAGGCTGAAAACCAGACAGTGGGACTGAACAGCACAGCACTAAGCATACTTAGTGTAAATTATTTTTCTTCCTTACCCTGTGAGCTCTCAGGACATAAATGTACTAACATTAAATAGAAATAAATATTCACAGTTATGACCTTAAGCCTTCAAGAGCATTTTAACTGTAATTATAGCACCTAGTTATGAAGCATTTTAACTAATAAGCAAAACGGCACTTCGGTGATGAGCTTCATGGCTACTCCACGTGCCTTCCGTCTCCTCTACCACCTCTGTCACCGTTGGGGGTGCAGAGTGGTGACCAACCTGCTGTATGACTTCATCTGAACCAAAGCCTGTTCCTCAAGTTGATCACTGTTGGATGCTGCACTCAAGGGGCGATGGTTTTCATCACTAGCAGCAAAAAACGAGGCTCGCTGGACTGGAATGAGATTGGAGAGAAACCTTTGAGTATTTTGGAACCATATATCTAGGCTCATCTACCAAAAGTTCACAACTGGTCTACATGGACAGTCCTATCTAAAAATATAGGCTTGTGCTAGACATTTATTTCCCAATCCTCATAGGTAAGATACTACTGTTTTAGCTAAAAGAAGACACCAACAATGTAACTTTCCTTTTAAAAACTAGTTTTGTGAATCAGTTTCTAGCTAGTCCTCTCCCTAACTTTCCTTGCTCTTCAAAACAGTATTCTATTAAATGTTTTCCTATAAAAAGACATTGTGTCAAATTTCCAGACCAAGGTTTTCTATTTACTGGTGATAGCAATGCATTCCAGACTTAGAATGAATCTCCTCAAAACTACTTAGTTGTACATAACATGCCTGGCCACTGTGGTCAGCTTCAGTGTAAGCCAACCTCTGATTCAAAATAGTCCAATAGCAGACTGGGGATTTAGCGCAGGGGCTCAAGTGCTTGCCTGTGTAAATGCAAGGTTGTGAGTTCAATCACTGCTACAAAAACAACAACAACAAAATCAAACAAGAAACAAAACAAAACACAAAATAGCCAAATAGGGCTGGGGATTTAGCCCAGTGGCACAGTGCCTGCCTGGCAGGTGCAAGACCCTGAGTTTGATTCCCAGTATCAAAACAAAAACAAAAAACAATGTAAAATTCGTATAAAGGCAATTAACCAACAAATTAAAAAGCCAAGTTAGTGCTAGGGAATTTCCATCAGCCAAATAAACCTGCAGGCAATGGGCAGTTGGTCAAGTTTTGTATTCTGTGGCCCAGTAAATTTCCTATCCAAACTGAAACTTGATTGGAACTGCAACTTTCAGTTTTCCGAAATAGAAGCAAAAAAATAGTCATTTGCTCTCATAAAATGAGAAACATTTTCATATCAAAATTTTTAGAATACTCATTTTAAAAATATTTCCTCAAGAAAAGATAGTAGGAAACCTCATGTCAATACACACTGCATAAAGTCTTCGAGAATTTCATCCCAGTCTGAGGCTTGGGCTAAGAACCAGCAGCACAAAGCAAGCACATGGCCAGCGGGTTGGCCAAGGAACAGTAAGGATGGTAAATGTGCTACATGTGTGAGAAAGGCAGAGTTCACATCCAACACCGCAGGGATGCAGCACGGCCAGGCAGGACAGGCATCCTGACACATTCACCTGTGTGCTTCACAGTGGGTTACTGGGAACCAAACCTAGCAGTGCTATACCACTAGATAGATCACCAACCTTTCACTAAGTTGCCTAAGTGGGACTCTTTTTTAATTTGTGATCCTCCTGCCTTAGTATTAGTAAATGCAGCCACAGGCCCAGCCACAACAATATCTTCATGATGCGAGGAGAGATTCTCTGAACATGTGCTTTCATTACTCTCTGCCTTTCTCTATGCGGGCAAGTGCTGCATCTGAATTTTAAACTCCTGTGTGGAGGGAACACCAGGTTCCATCAGTCTAATCCTTACTGAGTGCTCTATAGCCACTGGCTGGCTGGGCTTCGTGGGGCAGGTGAAGTAAGTGTGCCACCAACATGTCCAGGGCAGCCGAGTAGTCAGCTGTGAGCATACCCCCAGAAAACTAAAGTGCTGTCCTGCAGGACCCTGTGCTGTCCTATGTGCCCCTCAGTGGACTCACCCTCATAGGCTTTGGCAGCATCGACCAAGTTAGACCAATCCAAATCTGCAGCAGTGTCAGGCAGGGGCATCAGGCCAGGATCGGGCATGGGCTGCCTTCGAGTGTCCTGGATGTCAGTCAGGGAGCTGTCGGAGGCTGAGAACTCTCCTGAAGGAGGGGACAAAAGACAGGATAGTGCTTCTGCCCCCAGGAGAACCACTCAAGAACTTTCCCATTTCTTGTTACCACAATAGATCTGTAAGCCACTTGTTATCAGAATCAACATCTGGTCCAGCAGGCCATTAGTGGCTATGCTAAAGCAGACTTGAAATTCAAACTGGCTTCTTTCAGTCTTTATTTTATAAGTAAACTCCCACTACCTTTCTCCCATGAAGGAGTCACGGGAAAGTTAAGTTCTATACCAAGGCCACATATTTGTTTGCTGCCAAGGGAGCTGTGTGTCCACAGTGAGGACCAGGGTGGATCTGGCATTCATCTTCCCTGCATGGAGTCAAGGGATGCAGGCTGGGAAGAACAGGCCTACTGTACTAGACAGTTGGTTTTTTGGGGGAGGTGGGTACTGGGAATTGAACTCATGACCTCATGTTTGCCAAGCAGGCACTTATGCCACTGAGCTAAACCCCTAGGAGAGAGCTGGGTTTTAAAGCTAACCCAGGGACTTATCTTCACCTGGACTCAGAGCTGGATCTGTGGATTCCATCCCTGGGACTGGTGAAGGACAGACAAAATGCATCCTTGGCCCATGCCTGCCCTGCATCCCAGGGATGGCCCACTGGCTTCCACAGCTGAGTTTATCTAAGCGGTGTGAGAAGCAAAGCCGGTAATGTGAGAATACTAGTTTGCTCATAAGGAGCCAATCCAAGAAGGGCTATTAGCATTAATACTGGCATAGTTCTCCCCAAGAGTCATCATCTCAGCAGCAACTTGGATCGGATTGGCTTAGTCCATGTATTCAACATCCCCAGTTCTTTCCAAGGTGATAATTTATTGAATATAAAAACCATTAACAACTGACATCTTAAAAAACAATTTTGCTTAGCCTCCCTGGGGGCAGGGAGGATGAGCTTGTGAACCACTCTCTGCCATTTGAAGACAGGCTGCTACTGCTCAATTTCAGTATGTGTACAACAGAAAGGGAGGCTGGGGAGAGCTGGGAAGTGTTACTTCTGATAGGTAAATGCCCTCTGGAAGCAGAAACCAGGTGGAGATTTCCTGGCAATGTACAATGCCACAGAAAGGCTCTTCACAAAATGACTGTTAACATTAAAGTCCATGCAAATGAGAGCTAAAAGTAAACTTCTTACTTCAATGCTATCAAACTTTAGATATACATATTTACAAGGGGTTAAAAAGTTGCATCTATTATGCTAGACTGGTAAGCCAGAGTTTATTTAGTGCTTGTTTTCCCTTTCAAATTATATAAGGAAATGCTCTGAAATGCAGTTGCTAGCTATTAATGTGTTTAAAATTATCAAGGTTAGGGGGCTGGGGGTTTAGCTCAGTGGCATAAGCGCCTGCCTTGCAAGCAGGCAATAGTGAGTTCGATCCCTGGTACCAATAAAAACGAAAAAGACCAAACAAACAAACAAACAAACAAAAAAAAAAAAACAAAACGAAGGTTATGAGTAAATGGATGTCAACAAATACTGCAAAATATTAAATGTTTAGTTCTATTTAAACATGTTCCCACTAAGGCTAAGTAGGTGGAACAGATATTTTGTGTGTCACAATCCCTAAACCCTTCTATCTCTGGGTCCAATTTTCCATACAGCAGAAAGAAAAAAGCCCTTCTCAATTTTTCTAAATGCATTTCAATGGTAGCCAAGGCACAAGCTGAGGGATCAGCCCAACAAAGACTGCTCCATTAGAACATGAAATCTACACAATGCTGCTTGGCTTTCATGAAAGCAACAAGATCCTGAGAAGGTGGCCTGTTCCTTCCCTTCTTTCTTCACACCATTCAGTAGACTCATTCTATGGGCTGTCCAGAGACCTTATGGGAGCTAGATTTCTGGGCAGTGATCTCAGAATGCAACCCCTCAGAAGGCAAGCAGCCCTACTGTGATACGAACATGCAAACAGAAACTTGCCATGGTAGAAATTATCAAAACAAAAATAATAAAACAAAAAGAGAAAACCCCAACAAAGCTGCAAAGAAATAAGCACTTAAGATAGGCGGCAGGAAATTGCAAGAGTAATAGAATTCAGGAGGAGTGGTCCTAACATGCGGGCAAAAAGAGAAAAAGGCAAGGGGCAGGTAAAGTTACTATTATAGGTTTATTTGAGACCAGTGGTAGAAAATGATCATTTTATGTACTGATTTGGGTTCATTACAGGTGACTTTCTAGAGCAAAGTAAAACTAAACTTGCTGGGGATATAGCTCAGCAGCATAAGTCTCTGCCTGGCAAGTGCAAGATCCTGAGTTCAATTCCCAGTACCAAAACCAAAAACAAAAAACCAAAACAAAACTAGATTTAGGCTGTGTGTGAGTTGAGGAGGTTGCATGATTCCTGAGTGATTGTCTGCCGTGCTAGGAAGGGTGTGTGGGACTGTGTCACTGAAGACATAGGATGGAGACAGAGAAGTATTCATAGCATAGGCGAGAGCTCCCAAACAATGCAGGGTAAGCAAGTAGTTTAGAAAATATAACTGCAGAGAAGGAGAAAAAAATCTGTGACTATGAATGCACAAAAGATATATAAAGATTGCAGCAAAATTCACATAGGAAAAAGGATGACAGAGGAGGGACTACAGTAGTTTGCGTGATAAGCCATCAGGAGCACAGGGTCCCTTAGCAGATGTCTACCGGGCTAAACCACGGCTGTTAGAAAAGGAGTAAAACATTTTATGTGGACAGAGAGGAAAAAGGAAAGACCAAATGCAAACCCAGAGTTCCCTTAATCAAACTGGAGCCCAGCTGGGTCACAGAGAAAACACGAAAAATATGAACCAGTGCAAGCAGGTTGCAAACATGAATAAGCTTTTCCCTAAATAATGCTTGCTCACTGACATCAAAGGTGATACCTTTACAGCCTGGAATAGATAAAAGGATAATGGCGAATTCAGGTCTGTGGTAGCCATGGAAAGTAGGCAATACAACTTACCAAGAAACAACTAATCTAGTTTCAGCCAGTTTGCCCAATCCCAATATAAGCTGGCCCATTTGATGAATAACAATTTACAGACTGCTACTTTGGGGAGTCAAACTCAGCAGATCTTGGATAAGGTCCTGGAATCTGTTTGTAGCAAACATCCCAGGTGCCCATTGTGGTCTGAGGATGAGCAGTCATCTAACCACAGTACTTCCTCTGAGGATCACCCCTGAGAAAAATGAGGGGCTGCTCACTCACCATGAAGTGACTTCATTCCTAAGGTGTATGAAGGCCTCCGCAGAGGGAGAGACTTGGGGAGGGAAGGGTATGTGCTACTGAAGAGGACATCATTGGGCAGGGCTTGGTCCAGCAGTGAAGCCCTCGAAGTGAAGAAGTGCTCTCTCTGGCCACTGTAGATACTCTCATCTGACAACGTCCGGTGCAAGGCCCGCCTCGACGTGGGGGTGGTAGGGAAAGGAGACTGAGGGGAAGAGAGCGGCTGGAACTGGAAAACAGTCAAGGCAGGGAGGTTAGCGTTCTGGTTTAGATGCCCCAGACCGAGACTGTGGCGTAGGTGAAGTACCAAGGCCGCCACTCGGGATGCACCTTTGTCTATGTCTGTGCCCTCAAGGAGATCCTAGGTGTTATTTCTTCAGAGCCCAGAGCACTGCCCATAGCACATCCATGCACAATATGTCACTCAGACTTGGGACTAAGTGGATTTATCAATACAGTATGGCAGTTTTATTTGAATCCCTGTGTCTTTGACCAAATTGTGTAATCTTGAGTCCAATTCGTTTCTATAAAGTGGGGGTACCTGTCAGGATTATTATAAGCATTAGTGAAATGCTAAGACTGATTGCAATGGTACGCATCAATGGCAGAAGAAGTGACGCTAGGATCTTCAAGGAAACAGAGCCACAGCACCAGAAAAAGGAAAAGCAGTCTCAGAAGCTTGTCAGTCAAGTGACAATGTGTTTGTTGGACAACAAGAGCATCTGATTATCAAAATGTGTTAAATAATAGGTAGTTCTAGGTAAACTACTAAGTTACAATGAGTTTCTCAAAATACATGGATTTCATGATTTTGAAGGTTTTTTAAAAAATATATACCTCTATTAATGAAATAATAAAGAAGTTGATTTTACAAATGACAAATAGTTTCAGACAAATGTTATCTCTGTAATATCTGTATTTTTGCCTTGGTGACCAAATGTGATTTTACTTTGGAGAACAATGTGGAATGAAGTGAGGAGGAGGGGTGAGTCACTGCTGGCAGAAAGCCACTGTGGGACTTTCCATGACACCTTGAAAGGGCAAGGAGAGGATGATTTAGCAATAGCTAATTAACATGGTTAATGTTACAGACTCAGATATGCGGAACTGACACTCAAAAATTCATTCTTCTCGTCTGGGGCCAGTCACATTTCTGATCAGCAAGCCAAAGGTTAATCAAGCCAGTTACCTCTATTGTGGTGTGTATAGCTGCTGCACAAATTATTAATCAAACATACTCTAAATAAGCCCAAGGTACAACCAACTGTGTAAAAAAATGCATGATCAGTTAAATCCACAGTATATTTACCTAGAAAACTGAGATGCTATGCTGGTTTGTTAGGGACAACTGGTATGGAGTTGACAATTTTTCTTCTTACTTTATTAACAAGTTCTTAGGTTAAGTCGTTTGAGAAAAAATAACAAAAACAGAACTATAATTAGGAAATTAGATTATCACATAAGGTTTTGCCTAACTAACTATATCTCAGATCTCTAATACAAAACTGCTGCTAAATTTGTTTTTTTTAGCATTTCTGCTTTTAGTAAAAGGATTTCCTTTTCATCTCCACCTTGATGGTTTTGTAGGAAAGTCTCCAAACTCCTAGCCTCAGCTTCTCTGAGAATATGAATGTATTTCAAGACCATTTAGGTAATGTGAGTTATTATAAGTCATAGCATCCTGTACTACAGAAAGGCAGAGCAGGATGTGGAAGGAAGCAAGCTTCCCAGATGGCTTGCTGACCATTAAAATGTAGCAGCCCCGATCTTACTCAAAAACTGTGAGTTGTCCTCTCTCGTATCTCTTTTTAACTCTAGTAATAAAGGTGTACAAATCTATCCAGGTCCCAGAAGAGCCCTTGCCTGCACTGCAGGTTGTACCCAGGATCACTGGCCAGCATGCTTCCAGCTTTTGGGAAAGAACCACAGTGGAGGCAGGAGTCAAACCTGGAAGTGATTTCAGAGAGCACCCAGACAGGTGGGATGGGTTCTCTGGCTGTAGTCCTAGGAGCCCTAAGGGTTTCTTATAGATGCTGGAGAGGGTGGTTTAGGGGAGCCTCAAGAATGCTTGCAGGCTCCCTTTCCCATTAGAGAAAGTCAGTTCTTCATACTCGTCTTCTATGAGTAATTTTACTTTCTAAAAGCGTTCCTCGGTTTTGAAATCACTTAGGGACCACTGATCCTCAAATCTATTCACAGCTGAAGGACATCTTGCTTGCAGTCAGTCTCCTGTTCTTCTCTTTCCTTCTCTTCAGTTGTCACCTCTTCCTATGCTTTCCTAACAGCTCCTCCTATGCTTTCTCTAACCTACATCTAAGTGCTGGCTGGAAAGCAGGACTGAAAGTATGCACTACCTGTTTACTTGTCAGACTGTGCATGCCCTTAAGAAAGGAAGGTAATCCTGTCTGGGCTTGTGGGTGAGGTTTTGTAGAGTGCTACAGCTCTGCCTCTGTTCCTGAGGCCAGAGCTGGGGGGCGGCTGTGTGCAAGCTCTCAGCAGTGGCATAACTGGAAGAGCATTGCCACATCCTACCACATCCTGTGGCAGGCACCTTGCTCTGCTGGTAGATAAACATGGGAGTGATAGCGCATAGGTAGCACTCACCATCCAAAAGAGCCACTGTGGCATGTGAGTTCCAAGTCTCACTTCTCCTGCAACCCTAAAACCTGTTGCAGTAGCTTGAAGCCTCAAGCCAGGAGGACTGCAAACTAGTCCACATGCTCACCTCATTGACATAGCAGAGCCATGGTCATTCAGAAAACAACTCTCAGGAGACCCATGGGACTGCTCAGCTGAGCCCATCTGAAGCCAAAGCAGCTCAGAGAGAACAGAACAGCAATGAGAAATTCAACACTGCTTGAAGCCTTCTCACTACAGTGGGTCAGACCCTGCAGAAGCAATGCCTTTGCAGAGGCTCTCAGTCTCAATGCTGGTACAAGTTGCCCCTCTATTTCTAACCCCAGAAAGGTTAAAGTAACTTATTTTGGAAGTAAAAGCCAAGATCTGGAATAAGGGCAAAACACACATTAGCCATCATTTTTATGTGCACTGCTCAACTGAATCAAAAGAGTGATACCTCTGAGCTTGCTCCTTGCCAAAAATGTTAAACTAGGAATTAGAGGGAAGACTCCTTGCAGAGCAGGGATTTTTTTTCCCTCTCATCTCTAAAATGTGAAATAATTTTTATTTTGAAACGAGCACTTAAACATTTTAATACACCTCTTTGGGGTTTGCTGGATTAAGAAGTTTCAAGCACAGTTGTGTGCAAGGTTGCTAAGGAAACCACTGGTACCCTAAGTCAGAACTGTCAAGTGCTGGCTTCTGAGACAAGAAATGACAGAAGAACAGCCATATCATAAAACAATTCAGTGTATATATTCTTGTTAGTAAAGCATTTATTTCTCAGCAAAACTCCAGTGTGATCCCTGAGATACATTTAATGCCTATGAACGGTGATTTTTAAGTTGAGCATGTGTACGGGCCCTGTGGAGGAAAAGGTGCTGGGAAAGCTGGACAAGGGCACACAACTCCTGCCTGGAGTGTCTCCTGGGCTCCAGTCTCAGTGCGAAGCTGGTGAAATGAGGGAGTAATCCTCACTTTCATCTTCAACCTATTCCCCAAAAGTTTTCTAGTCATTGGAAACAGACTATAAGTCCACAAATATTAGAACAGAAATCTTCAAAATTTACTGCCATGATCCACCTGGGGTAGACCCCTTTCTCCTGGGCTACCCAATGTATCTCAGATTTAAGAGGAATTCCTCACCCCAGCTTAGAAAATATCAGCTCCTATCTCACATTTCAGAGGACAATGAGGCAGAGGGCATCACAGAAAATCTAAAGGACCCCAAACTGAGTGGGGTAAAACAAACCTTGTTCTACTCAAACGTATTTTACAGGTTTAGCCATGGACACACAAGCACACACGCTGAACAAGAATTCAGGATTGGTAGCTGGGCATGGAGGCACACTTCTGTAATACCAGCACTTGGAAGGCTGGTGATTACAAATTTGAGACCAGCCTAGGCTACAAAGTGAGCCCAAGGCAAGACTGAACCAAATGAGACCCTGTTTTAAAAAAGACCAAAAAAAGATGGAAAAAAAAAATAGAATTCAGGATTGGAAGGGGTAGCCAGGCTCCAGGAAGTGTCAGACTGAAATGGAAAGGTTCACAAAGCACACAGATCAAGGACAGTTAGCAATCATGTTGTAGATCTACTAGACTCAAGAGGTGGCTGATTACTCCTGGTAGAAATCATGCAGTCTCATGGGACACTCTAGAAGCAGCAGCAACTATGGGGTAGGGACAGGATAGCAGCAACCAATACTAAAGAGAGGTGGCTATGGGGACAGAGCACTGCAGAACACTGAACAGAGATTACTGGGAAGACTGTGTGATGCAGGAAATGGGATCCAGTAAACACAAACCAGCAAATAATGCCCCCTTAAAGGTGTACTATGACCCACGGCCCCATTACATCTGACTTCCAATTGCTTTTTACTCCAAGTTCTGCCTTGTACCTTAAAATTCTTCTGTGATTCAGCAGTTGGGCTTTCAAGATCAATAAGCTTCTTTAGATCCTCCTCAATGGTGGATTTGGAGGTTGGTTTTGGGGATGCCCGGAGGTCCCTAGTTGAAGTACGTAGTCTGGTGTGGGATATTTCATTGCCATCACTCTGATGGCGCCTGGGAACAAAGGTGGAAACCAAGTCAACAAGACTTACTTGAGTACAATAGGTTCTGACGGATGAGAGTCAATCGAAATGTATTAAAGGAGAGAAAAAGAGAAGTACCCCTGTCTACATCAGAGCCTACTCAGATACATGCTTATTAAAAGAAACATAAGCAATTTGAAACAGGAAATAAAGTCTGATGAGTAGAACACTCTAACAGGAAACTTAGTTCCACTGTGCCAAAATTAACAACAGACTCTTTAGAGGAGCACAGGATATGAATCTCAAATGCAACCTTTAACAAACAACAGCCTACAACAAATCCCTTAATTTTTTGCTGTATAACACATGTCAAAAAGTCTTATTTTTAGAAGTACTCACTTTCTAATATTCCCTCTGGCTTTACTGGCCCAGTTATGAAGAATTCTATGGGAAGGATGTGAATACTAGAATCAAAGGTATGGGTATAGTCTTAGAACAAGGCAGTCAGTTATTCTGAAGCATGTCCCTCAAGCATACTCTTGCCTAGGAGAGCTAAGATCCTCAAATTCAAATGCTAAGATTCTCAAATATCTGTGGGATATTTTACTTAAAGGATGGGGGTCAGAAATATTTTTTTTTTTTAAATAGTCTTGCTGTATAGTCCAAACTGGTCTTGAACGCTCAGTAATCCTCCTGCCTATAGCCTCTGAATGCTGGGATTACAGGTGTACACAACCATACCTGGCTAAGGCTGATAAGTAACAAAAATCTTACTTTAATCTCCCCCAAAACTGAGCCCACCATGCCTCCCAGCCTGGCCTCTCTGATGGAGGAAACCACCCCCAACCTTTTCAGTTCTCCACCATATTGAAATCAAACCACTCAGCAAGAGAACCAAAAAATTCTTACTTTCTTGTGTCCATAAATCCCACAGAGTTAATGGTTCCTTCAGGTTTTTTCCATCCAATCAGGTACTTGCTAGTAGCGCCCTGGCGAGGGTAGAATGTCCTAGGACCAGAGGAGGACGAGGAGGAGGAGAAAGAAGGTGTGAGCTGTGAGGAGGTGGCAGGATGCAGCTCTTCTTTTGGTGAACTTCTGGCACTGGAGAATACAACTGGGCTGGCAGAGTGCCGGGAGCTCATGGTACTGAGGAGGAGCAAGCAAAGACAAAAAATGACTTAAGCGAGTACCTTGGGGCCACCATGTCACTTTTAGAAGAGTGTCTAGGGTAGGGGCAATGGCCAGGTTAAAGAACAATGAATTTTCCATAATGTATCTAACTGGCTGGCCTTCTTTGCTTTTTCACTGTAATTTAAATGTTTATTCTCAAAATGACAAATGGACACTAGGGCTCTATCTTTACTTGAGAAGTAAAAGTAGTTAACACCATCAGGGATACTTTCAAGAATACCAGCAACTCTGAAGTTTGTCATGGTTGAGTCTAAAAGTGGTGACAGGAGAAACAGCAAAAGGTATAGCAGTCTCAGTGGCCAGCTGGCTGGTCTTCTTCTGAACAGAAGAAGCAGTGACAGTGGTTATCTCCCAAGGCCAGCGCAAGAAGAAAAGGGGTGCAAAATCAAGGACACAGCTCTCTGCTCATATCCAAGACCAAGGGGGCAGAGTGGAGCTCTCCTTTTTCATGGCATCTTGCATTAATATTAATTCCCATTGCAGTAGACTTTCAGCTGCTTGAGGGTTAGTGAATAACATGTGGACCCAACGCATTCCTCAGTGGTATCTCTGCTGGTCAAAAACTAATAGTCTTGATCTGGGTAAATATGGACTTTAGCAATACTGTGTCAATATTGACTACTTAGTTAACACAAAAGTCCTACAAATGCAAGATGATGACAAAGGGAAACTGGGCAAGAAGTATATGAGAATTCTACTATCTTTGCCATCTTTTCTGTCAGTATGAAGCTATTTAAATTTTTTTAAAGTAAACAAAAAAGCCAGATCTAAGATCTAAGCCAGTGCTAAGCCAGTATATACTGGTGAAAATGAATCTTGACATGCTCACCTCAAACCCTATCTAAAATCAATTCCAGTTGAATTGTATATGTAAACATAGATCTAAAATTATTCTAGACTATACATGATACAAACAGACATGTAATAGGATCATAAAGGAAAAGATTGAATTCCATTTAAAATTAAGCAGTTTTATTAATCAGAAGTCACAAAATATGATATGTGCAAAATATATGGATATATTACCAACAGGCTCCTATCTAAAATATGTAACTAAACTCAGGATCAACAGGACAACCTAGGAGAAAAATGGGTAAGTGATCTGAAAAGTAACTGTGAAGGACAATACCTAACAGCCCTACAAACACTGGTGGTCAACATCATCAGTTACCAAAAAAATGCAAATTAAAACTGTAACGGATCCCTACACACTTACAGGATGGCTACATTAAAAAGTTACATGATACCAAGTACCAAAAGGATATTAAGCAACTAGAATTTCCACATACTGCTAGATGGAGCACTACAATCACTTTGGCAACTGGTTCTCAACTCCCTACTAAAGCTAATACATAGAAACTACTCATCTACAAACTCAAAAGAAATGCACAGATATGTGTAGCAAAGGACATGCACAAGAATTTGTAATATTCCCAATCTGGAAACAACCTAAATATTGGTCAAAAGTTGAATGGGTACATGAATTGTGAATGTCCTCACAGTATGCGTACAGTAGTACCTCTGCTCACAAATTTATTTCTGGAGTTAAATTCGTGAACCAAGCTCTCATTGTATATAATACAGAAAAGGAAATGAATGCTGCCTGTGCAACACATGGTTAAATTGCATCAACATAATGTTGACTTATAGACACCAGACACAACATAATACACACAGTATCAGTCCACCTGTATTAAGTTCAAAACTTGGCAAAATGAATGTGAGTTTCTTATTCAGGGATGTGGTGGTCATGTTGGGGAGGACGTATGAGTGCCTGGGGAAGGCACGGGCATGTGGGTAATGTTCTGGTTTTTGATCTATATAGTGATTAGGGATAAACATTTAGGACCTGTGTCTTTTGTATAAATGTAATCCTTCCATAAAATATATCCTCAAAAAAAGCTAACGCTGATAACGTGGAAAGAGGAGGTAGCATCAGTCCATGAAGCTCGGTCAATAGGGCAAGATGTGGAAGAACAATGAGATATAGCAAAGCCAATCTGAAGAGCTTCCTACACTAGCTGGAGTCAATTACTGTAGACCAAACAGAATCACAGCTTTTGTCTTTGTAATTCCGTTACTGCGGGAATTCAAGAAGGAACTGGATTCAAATTTTTCAGAAATTTATTAACAATATAGACTAGTCTGACTCTAATAGCCCTAACAATTTTTCCCAAATATTTTTCCAGTAAGAGTGAAAAAAACTCTCCCAAACCTCAAAGCGCAATATAAACTGAAAAGAAATGCAATGTTATCTTTTGGTAACAAATATTCTATCTACTTGCTTTTAAAATTAAAAAAGATATAAAACTCTTCAATAAATGAAGTACATTAAGAAAATAATAACCAGATCTTTGTTAAGGAAAGGAGATTAGAAGTGAAAAGATGAAGTAGAAGAAAAACAGAAAGACAGAGGGTGACAAGTTCATAATGAGTGGCACCAGAAACTCAGATTAACAGCAGCACACAGTAACAGAGGTAGCACTGACAGACATGCTTCTGAAATACAGGAGCATAGGCGCAGCATACTTTAGCATATCTACTACACTGGTACAGTTATTTGGCGACATGATCTAGTCTTCACTTTGCAGGTCTTTTTTTTTTTTTTTAACCATATCAATCTATATACAGAACTGTCTCAAATCTCAACAGTATGCTAGCTTTAATTCCCTATCCTGATTGGTATTAACAAATGAGTGCAGATATGCTAGAGGTACTAGCAGTCCTCAAACTTTAGCATGTAAGATTGCTACCCCCTCCTCAGAGATTCATTCAGTAGGTGGAATAGGGTTGGGAGGCATGAGAATTCATACTTCTAACATGTTCCTAGGGATGCTGTGGTTCATGATCCATACTTTTAAAACCACTGTACAGAAGTACATTTGAAATGCCACATTTTACATTTTTCAATGTCTACTACCTTGATAGCACTGACATTAAAAATTTAGGGCTTTCAAAAACTGAATGCGTGGTCAAAATAGAAATAATCAGCTAGGTGAACAAAGTAAATTGCACAGTCCATTGATTTACAAGTCACTCCTCATTTTTGTACAAAATTGCACTGGTTTCCGTTACTGCGGGAATTCAATATATGATAGTAGAAACTTCAAAGTAAATGATAAATTAACAACTCATTTTTAAATGTAAGGAAGAATTACATATGCAAGTTGTATATTACATTGACTGTATTCAAAAACTAGTTGCTTTATTTTTATGGTAAGCAATTTAAAAAATAAAGTATGAATGATTCTGTTTACAAGTATATCCTGAGAAGGACAAATAAGACCACTGAATCTGATTATTGTTTTTGTCTGTGAACATGATAGCTGATACTAGTTCTCAGGTGTGAAATGCCAGGACACTTTTGTTCACTAATGGTTATAACCAGACAACCCTATTCAATAATTGATTAGATTTGGAAACAAAGGTACAAGCCAAAACAAATGAATATATTCATTGGCATGTCTTTCTTTAATGTATACAATTCACAGCAGAAACAAAATGAACATTTGGTAGGCAGATGAGCAGTGCTGGGGAGAGCTTCTAAAATACGTGAGTCCAATCCTAGAGATGTTAATTTAATAGAGCTGGGGAGGTGTTAGGAGATTTGGCAAAACCTCCCCTGAAGTGGTAAAGCAATTAGGAATGACTGCAGCATTCCTATTCTCATGATTTGGTTGAAATTTAACTTCATACCTTTCCAGACCCAAAAAGTGAATGCATGCAAGTGTTATTTCTTAAGTTATGGACTGTGGTCCATGTAGGTGCCGATGCTAATACAGTCCTGGGCTCATGTCAGATCTACAGCCTCAAACCTCTTTATTTTATAACATTTCTGAAAGATTTCATGTTTCCTAGAGCTCAAGAACTACTATGCTCTACACTGCACTGTTTAAGAGATCCTGCACTGTGAACAACACTCTCCAGTGGGTCTGTCTCTTGTTCTCCACACATGAGGTTCCATCTGTGGGCTGGGCTCCCTAAAGCTGACAACCCTGGTGGCCTCAGAGCATCTGGAAGACATGTTCCTATCCACTTCACCTAAAGAATCTCTGAGGTGGATTTAATTACGGTGCAGCTACCATGAACTCACCAACTACTTGCTGTTTAAGGAGAACTATGGAGCTGTACTCTCATTATCCTGGAGAGTTCATGTTAATTCAATATGTTGCAATTCTGTTTTACTCATGGTGATTTGAATGCCTTCATAGGAATTATATAAGGTATGGCACTAGTAAGATGGAAGGCGGGGAAGCGATGTGTAGTCATAGCCTGATACTCAACTGCTTTGAAACTCACCATATATGGTACTCAACGCATTTTGACATGAAATTTTGTTCCAGTACTATATTTGTCAACTGTTTGGCACTCAACCAACAAGCTAGAACTTAACCATGTCAACTGCCTTGTGATTCATTACCCTTTCCAGCCAGAACAATCTGTTTGGTATTCATTGTTTTTGGTTACTTGTTGTGTTTCCCAGAACCAATTAAGGGTGAGTACCAAGGCGTTACTGTGTTAGAAGGGGCAACTGTACTACTGTTATCTTTCTCACTACAGAAAAGGTAAGTTTAAATGTGAGTATAGCCAAACTAGACCACTGAGAATTCAACCAGGGAGTCTCTGGATGAACACATATATAATACTGCACATAAAAAGTGGGTAAGGCGCAATAGGGTAACCCTAAATCTATGACAGCCTGTTCAAACTTCTATTTCGACTTGATGTTCAAAGAAAACTAAGAACCATAAATGTGCTGCAACCTGGTGATTTTACATTCCCAGTAAGGGTGAAACTTTATAGAAAGGGATGACTGATTTATAAAAGTGATGCTACTCATGCTGGGTGCTTCCTTGTTGGTTTTGCAAGGGATGAACCACCTGGCTGGTGGGGGCATACAAATGTCATCAAAGCCCTCATTGTCAAACCTATAAGGGCCAGGGAACCATTCTGAATTTCTGCATCATCGCTGAGACCACCCCTTCTTACAGAAAAACATCTGCCTGCCACAGACTGCTATCAAAAGCTGTTGAAGGGAACACTTGGAGCCAACTACTATTGAGGAGTGGGATGAAGGGCTGGGTTAAGACAGGCGAGGCCTGCTAAGGATGATGTTTTCAGAAGGCAAAAAGTAGCAATCAGTCACCTGACAAATGGCTATGGCAAATTCTGGGCCAAGGCTGAATGCTGGCCTAATCTCAAGGGGAGGGTGGCTGATCAGAGTTCCTGTGATTGTTGTACAAATAACAAGCATTTGGGTGACAGCTAATGTAGAGGATAATGATTAAGGAGGATTCCTCCCACTGTGTTCAACACTAGCCAGTTCTGTCCTATGTCCAATACTAGGCTCCGCCCTTCAGGGGGCCTTCCAGAGACACTAATTCTAAAGCCCCAGGGAAGAACGAACAACTGAAGTAGGGATGATTAAGCAGGCAAGGGGATAGCCAGCCATCCTATAAGAAGCAGATATTTAGTAAGCACAAATATTGATACATAAAGGTAATGAATGGCTACATGTATGCTGCAAGGGCTTTAGAGATCACTGTGGGTCATAACTGAGTAAGTCTGTAAGGCTAAGGTATTTAATAAGGAGCTAACAAGATGTCTGTAAACATTATCATTTAATTGGGCATAGCTGAGACAAGTGTCATGTCCAAGTTTAACATCTATAAAGAATAAAGAATAAAGAAAAAACAGGGAAACTTAAAACCAGAAACTGATTATAGGATGAAACATAACAGAATAGTTATAGGAGCTGTGAGATACATACCTGTTGCAGGAAAAGTAGCTGCATAAAGTAGGTAATGAACAGTTAAAGGAAATGACAAAAGCTTTTGTCTTAGAAAGACATTTATAGGTTGTAATACATTTAATAATGTTTCTTGTTTTCAACAAATACAGAAGAACAGCCATTTAGCAGGTAAGTCAGGTACTAGATTACAGATAAAGGCCCAACAAGGTGAACAGATCTGACTGGCCAAAGGCCACAAAACTGGCCAATGGTAGAACGAAGATGTGGGGCTGATCTCAGGCTCCAAATCGATCTTCCCTAAGTTTCCCTGTGAGCTACTCAATGACAATAAAAATGTGCACGTGATTTTATAAGTGGGCACTAATTGGCTACAGGGCTGTGAAAGGACCTGAGGGAAGTACAAAGGAGTTTTAAGATGATTAGAATTTAATGTACATGGGCAGAGATCTAGACACCAAAATAAGTCAGACTGGAATGTTACATAGGAGATGTGCATATCCAAGTACAGTACAAGGTGAGTTTTCAGCTTTATAAAAAGTAGACTCAAATCTAATCCCTGCATGGTCTTCTGGATGAGAGCTCCTTATGCAAATTGAAGAGGTCCTTGCTTGTAACTGCCTTGCCTACCGTCAAAGCCAGAACTCTGAAAAAAGTGAATGTTTTAAAAGTGTATTAAAATTACAATGACCCACACACTTCTGTATTTGCCAAATCTTTTCTTTTTGAAGTGGTTCGTTTTAACATCTGAAAGTGAAGTTAAATCTCTCCCTAGACTTCCAAGCTTTATGGAAAATATATCTATATTCTAAGAGATTTTTTTTTTAATTGCAGAAATTTATCAGTACATGCAGCCTCTAGAAATGACATCCAAATATAACCTCCCTATATGATTCTCAATCCACATTAATACCATTCTCAGGGGACACCACAGAAAAACCTGCATAGTCATCAACAGAGAGACTGGATGACAGAGGTGGGTAGGAACAGTCCGACCAGAAATATGCAGGGGAATTTAATCACTGTAATTTAGATTTTTGTTATAGAGTCCCAGGTACAAGTTCTCTTAGGCACTGTCAAGAAATCTCCACATTAATTGCTGCTCCTGTCTTCTGAGGACATAAACACCCTAATTTGCTGTGATTTTAGTTTCTCTAGCAATGCGTACTTTGTGGCTAAGTCCCCTTTTCCTCCAGCATAGAAAGGCTGCAAAAGCTCTGATTATCCAGCTCACTGTGCCAAGATCAACAGACTGAAGTTAAAAAGCATCCCTGTTTACCAGTCTAGAAATGAATGTGACTCAACTCTTTGGTGGGTGGTAGGCTCTGCCATCTTCCCTGAAAGGTCACATTCTTCTCTTCTCCACTAAGTTTAACTTTCAATAGGAGAGCTATTTCTAAGTGAAAATCTCAATGATTTTGCATGGTCCAGTTGAAGCATAAAATTTACATAATCTTTGAGGCCCAGTCAGTGCATTTAAATACTGCAAACCCAAGTGTCTGATTTGGGGGACTTGTCAGGTAATGGCATAGCTCCACATTCCACAGTAGAGGCCCAGCGCTTTCCAACCTTCCTTCACAATGATGGCATTCTAGACATAGTCTTTACAGTGGACTTTCTGTTGCCACCATCTTAGATGGAAAAGATCTCTTCAGATGGAATTCCATTCTCAAGGTACTCTCTTTTCAAAAGAGGAACTGAAAGAAATGAGTGCAGTTAAACCTAGAAACTATAGAGAAATCATTCTGATGTGAAACATGTCTAAGTCAATGCATAGCATATCATTAAGGAGACAGCAGGATATGCGCAAAGACAGCAAGTGTTGTAATTCAGTGCCAGGTGACTCTGTATCTCTATAATGTTGAATTATTACAGCATTTGATGCCAAATTTTCCATTCTACTATTTGAAACACATCCCTCATCCATTTCAGTCAAATACGATTACCTAAATAGAGGAAAGATACGTGGATGCTGGGTGGTGAAAATACTAATATCACTTTCCCAAGTTCATTTTTGCTTCGGTTTCCAGACCAACTGCAGCCTTTAAAAGTGACGACAATAATAACAACAACACAGGTCCTTCACACTAAATTACACATCTAGCCATTTTTATTTTAAGATAAGATTTTACTAAGTTCCTCAGGTGAGACTTGAACTTGTAATCTCCCTGCTTCATCATGCCAGGGCGCTGAGATTACAGGTATCTGCCAATGCACCAAGCAGTCACAATCATTTTAAAATCTGGAATGTGGAAGTGGTAAAAAAAAAACAAAACTCTTCCTACTATAAGGCCTAGAATTTTAAAAGGGTAGTTTAAAATCTTATCAGTAAGAAGACAGACAAAAGTGAAAACACTGATCAGGTAACTAATCAAGTTAAATCCAAATTAAGTAGAGGTTATTAAGATAATCTTATTAAGATTATCTGAAATTTACTAAGAGATTATGCATTTGGCTTCCCATTTGAAAAACATAAAGCTAAATTAAGTTTCTATTTTTCTTCAGGGCATAGTAAGAGATCACAAGAGCCATAATAATAAAACACACAAACTGCCATACAAGTTATCAGTAACTGACAACAAGAGATAAAAAGAGAAAAAGATAGCAATGGAATGCTTTGTCCTTAAAACAAAGAATCTCACCATACTTCGTGATCTAGAGGAAATGAAACGTGTATTTTGCTTAGTGAAGAGATCACCAAGATACAGGGGAATGTGTAGCTTTCCGTCCTGGAAAGTAGATGGGATGTACTAATATTTGCTATTTTTTTTCTTAGATACCCTCCCTTAACAATCACTGTCAAGAGTCAACTACTAAGAACAATTACCATGATAGCAATGGCGAAGTGATAGCTTGAGAATGTAGTAGAAGGGATATTCTGTTCTTTAGGAAAGGATGCTTCCTTTTAAAACTATGATCAAGATTTTAAAAGATATCTTCAAGATATTGTCCTAGTTTATACTGTTTAGGTGAAAATCAAAATTATGAAATTATAAAACTTCTCTTTAACTAGGAAACACACAGGAAATTTTTTTTCTTAAAATCTAACTTTACAAAGGATAAATCTGCAAGTTTTTCTCACAGTGTAAAATAATGCCTTAACATTTTAAGACTTTTTTGTTGACAAATAACTGGAATAAAAATGTAAAATGTAAAATGTGTTTTAAAAAACCATACAAACCTACTGCCAGTTTGTCAGAAAACAGTGCTGTACACCCATCACCCTGTACACATTGCTGAGCACAGTCAGCATGAAGAGGCCAGGAAACTGCACAGTTAGTTACCTGGTATGGGAAGCAGCATCATTGATACTGAAAGTGCTGTTCTCCCTGGTCAGAGGGCTCGAGCCACCCTGGCTCTTGCTGTGGATGTCCAGGCTCAGCGAGGACTCTGCCTTCCGATCCATGCCATGGCTCTCTGTCTCTAAGGTCCGATCGACCATGGACAGCACTTCACTGGAGCTATGCCACAGGGGTACCACTTTCTCCTTGCCTGGTCCCGAGCGAGGTGATGAGGTGGCAGCCCCCAGGGAGACCGAGCTGCTATGGCTGGGGCCATAAGAGGTGGTATCGATTCCACTGTCAGCTGAGGTTCCCTGCAGATAGTTATAGCTGTTGAGTTCAGATTCTGTGCGGTCCCCATCGTACCACTTCTCATCACTGTGGGCACTCGATGCATTGCTGGAGAGGGTATTGCTACTGGAGTGGCTTGAGTAGTGGCTATCAGACTGCAAAGGAAGCATAGTTTACATAAGTGCAAGGTACTGTGCCCTAAATTCCCAAAAAAAGACCCAACACTGTGACACATGTTGTAGTTACAGAGGTCCAAATGTACAAGAGCTTCATAATGATAAAATCAAAGTAAGGTAAAGTGATGGTTTGGAAAAACCTTTGTGACTCTGGCTCATTCAGTTGTGTCTATGGCAGGGAGTATAGCAAACTAAGAATTCGTTTTTCATTATTTAATTTACACTAAAATATCAATAATTTCTAGACTATTTTAATCAAAAAAAATCGTAAACTGTGACTGAAGTCTTTAATATCTTAAAATAGAAAGGAAATGACATTTGAAAAGACACTGAAATTAGAAATGCATGCTTTATTCTAAAAGCCCTACTGTTCAGAGTAGATAGAAGGTTGATATAAGACCCATTAAGCCTAAGAACTCTCCTATTCTTTCCCCAATTATTGTCTATGTAGAAGAGAGCTTTCTAAGGAGTGCTCAGAGGTGTCAAGATAATCCAATGGGGGCCAGGGGGCACAACTAGTCTTACCAAGAACTCGATATTCACATACAAAAAGGAATGAAGTAGGACCCTTGTACAGAAAAACTCAAAGAATCAAAGATCTAAGAAGGTAAGTCTCTGTGACTTTCAGTTATACTGTTTCTTAGATACAGAACAAGCAACAAAAGGAAGAAAAAAAATAAACTGGACTTGATCAAAACTAAAACCTTTTATGTTTCAAGTAACCCCATTAAAAATGACCAACAGTGTAAAAAAAAAACATTTTTCTTCAAAGAAAATATACAAATATCCAGCAAGTACATAAGTAGATGTTCACTATCAGTCATTAGGCTACCACTTTATATACACAGAATGGCTATCAATAAAATGGCAGAGAGAAAGGAAGCTGGCACTGTTAGAACTCAAATGATCATCAACTGTTAATTGATTAGGAATAGTGAAATTCCACACAATGGAATACTGTTCAACTATGAAAAAGAATGATTCATGCTGTAACATGGATGAACATTAAAAACATTATGCTCATCTCAACAGAAGTCAAAAATTTTATAATTCCGTTCATGCAAAATGTCCAAAACAGGTTCATCCACAGATAGAAAGTTGACTGCTGATTTTATCAGTGTTAGAAGGAATGGAAATTACGTGACTGCTAAAGGGCTCTTTTAGGGGCTGATGAAAATGCTTTGGAACTGCAGCATGGTGCTGATTGCACAACTCTGTGGACACAAAAACCATTAAATTGTATATTTTCCTTTTAAAAAGGAACACAGTTTGCCAAAGAAACAAAACTTAAATGAGCCTGTTCACTGAAAGTTATCTGAGCATCTTATAAATTAGTGAATATGAAATGGAGTTATTTACCTATACCATCAAATGACTTGAATATACATATACATTTGAGTGAAGACAGACCAAAGAAACTGACTGCATTTCAAAAGAGGGAGAAAGACTATTTCCAATTATACCTGTAAGTGATGAGGAATCATACATAGGTTATTACATTAAAGCATAATGCACCTAGCTGTGGAAGACAAGAGAAGGAAGGGCATTTATAAAAGAAGTTGTCTATTTCCTTGGCTGATGCTCCAACTGAATTTCATACTCATAACTGCTCGAGCAAATAAAATCTCTTTCTAGCACATTTCTATTCCTGACATTTTAGGATTGTTTGTGATTAAAATGGATGGCCTTCCATTCAGACCTGTAGGGGCGCAAGGGCCTAACAACGAGGTTATAATTTACCTCAAAGCAATGTTTAGGGCCACTGCAGCAGTAATTTCAAGACTACTCATGATCTTTTTGATCATGCAGAGCAAAGAGCAGCAGAACAGACTTGTTCTGTTTTCACATTGCAGGAAGTACACTGTTAGGAATGTACTATTTCTATAAGTTTACAGTTCACTTACGTGTCCTTGTTTGTTTGGAGACAAATGGACCACTGGATCCTGCCGCATTAATCTCCCACTGGGGCTCTCTCGGAAAGCTGGCAGTACCTTTGATACTGCTGGGAGATGGCATGTAGGCTCTGGAATACAGCACAGGACATTATGGTGCAGGTACTGAACAGGTACAAACATATGTTGACAAATGGAGACGGCGTGCCATTGCATCTTTCAGTTCACTGACCAGCCAACTCTGAATCTCAGCAGGAAGCTTGTTAAGAGTCTACACAATAGATAGCATGTCAGAAACTAGGTGGCTGATGGATAAAGCTTGCAGCTGGTGATAATGTGTCACATCATACACATTAGCAGAGCCAACCACCAAACCAAAGGCCATGAATAATGCAGCAACATTTGGAGTCAACTTTTGGTTTGGGGGAAAGTTTAGAATATATGGGTTAAATTTATGAAATTCATTCACTGCAAAATACAGCTAACCTAGCTCAGTCTACATTACCTACACAGGCATGGATGCAATCACATGTTACTTACCATGACACTTTGGAAATACTTTACCTGTATATTCATGCTGCTCGAGGACAAAAGAATTGAAATCCTGAGGTCCTCTATAACTGTAAGCTAAGCACAACAGAAAAGACACACAGCAACTAGTTTACTTAAAACAATTGCTTCCTTTTGGACTCTAAACCGGTGTTCAAGGTGAGGTTCCAAAAGTGAGATATATGATTTAGCCTCTAACACACCTATAGCAAAGAACAAGAATTCTGGACTTCTGTGACTTCTACCATATAGAGGACTAGGCAGCCGACCCCTTGAGCCTGACTCTAAACCATTCCAAGACCAGAGAGGCAGAAAAAGAAACGTCTGCAAAGATGAGTGAACCAGCTAACCAAGTGAAATTGTGCACTCTCAAGAGTATTAGTTTGCAACACACTAATGCATAAAGACAAGTGGATCTGCCTAACATAAGAATCTCAATATTCTCCATCTGTGCAAGCCATTAGAGAAATCCATTTCTACAAATTAAGTGTACAAAGGTCAATCCTTCCTACATTCAGTGTCATATAATGAATAAGAAAATAAATTATTTTTCTTGAATTCTCCTTAGGCTGGCTTGTATCAACTAAGCCCTGGACTCTGTCAAGTAGAAAGGCTGGGTATTCTTTGGGAATGCTGGGATACCAAAAATTATGAAAATTTATTGTAGCATTTTATTCATTTTGAGTGGAGAAAGGCTACCTAGACTTTCCCTACCACAGAATAAAAGGTTTCTTGGGGCTGCCTTTAAAAGAAAAAAAAAAAGCATGCCTTAAAAGATGCAAATGTGTTCCAGAGCTTTGTCAGTATCCATTTTAAGCCTTACCTATTAAAAGTGGAAAGCTACTAAACAAAAAGTAGATGCGAGGAAAAAAGCCTAGAGGGAGAGTTGTATGAGAGAATGACTGTGGTTCTCAGATGAACCTTACAAGTACCCTCTCAAAGGCACCTTCTCATCCCTGGGTGACTTCCCACAAGCAGGAAGCATGACATTGTGCACTGCACAAAAGGCTTGCTGGCAGGCTTATTCAAAGCCTGCACTGAGAGCCAGAAAAAGCCGCTGAAGTCATGCTAAAGAAGGGATCCTTTTCACATGTGTCATTATCATCTCAACAGTACCAAAACATATGGGGTTAAAAACATTCTGTTAAGAGCAGAAAAGCAGATCAGAATATGCTCAGGTTTTCTGTGTTGGGGGTGGGTGGGTAAGAGTGGGGAATGACAGATGGCTTCAATAACAAGGCACATCTTACCGAAGTTACTGGAATAAAACATTTCCTCAGACCTAAGAATTACAGTTCTCTCCCTCAACTTCTGTCTCAGCAGAATACATCTTCATTCTACCCTACGCTCACGGTTAGTGCATTTACTTGGGCACAGTCATAATCCAGGACAAGGCCATGGATCTGTTGAGAATATAGAATGATGGGTCTTTGCCTTAAAAATGTATCTTTTTCATCTCTGAAATCTGCATCTTAAAAAAAAATCTCATGTTGATGGTAATGCTGCCAGACATAACACAGAGGGAAGGAAAACCCAACTTAATAGACTAACATCCTCAAAGTATCAACCATATTGATATCAAATTATCTGATGTGAAGTGTGGAAACTTAATCTTGTTTCATAGCAAAATCTTACTGTATCAACTAGTGCTCTGGTGTCATTACAGAACAACAACACACAGGTACACACAGATGAGGGAGGACTGTGCACCTGAAATCCAAGTAAGGGCTCACTAATGCAAATATTTGATTCAGCTATTTTACAATGCCAAGACAGTTCCTCAGCTGATGGTTTAATAATGGAGTGGAAAGAATTAAAGAAATATACATAAAGGAGAAAGACACATCTAACTAAGCTACAGATATGACTAAGTCATTGTATTTCTTCCTACTTTGTACCATACAGTTTTTAAAACTTGACATTAAGAACACCAAGAAATCTCTCAAAGAAATAGGCAGTAACAAGGGAGAATGAATGTACTTAGGATACAAGAGGTTTGTTGGGCTAGTTTTTTAGTCTTGGTGCTGAATATAAATTCCTGTGTTCTATATTACATTTAAATTTGGGGTCACTTAGAACTGCTTTTCTCACAGGAGTTATTTGTGGCTTTCACTTTACAAAGTCTAACAGAAACTTAATTCTAATGCATACTTATTACTAGGGTTGTCTTTTAAAAACACAATGCCTCCATAACATCATCAGTAGGTAGTCAAAGTCATCTTGTCATAAAAGCCCTTGCTTTTTGTAGAAATTACCTACTTACCCATCTGGTCAGCAATGCCATCCTCACTTCTTTGCCAGCTGGGTGTGGACTTTCCACTGCCACCAATGTCTGCCTGGGTGTTTTGTCTGTCAATAGAGGCTGGAGACCTTCGGCTTACTCCAAACCTGAGGCAATTCACCGGCATGAAGACAAAGACAGTGTCAAGGACTCCACCCGTGAGAGGAAGGTTTTTCCTGGGTGACACTAGTGACAGGTTCTACCAGTTTGTGCTTCCATGTCAGTACATGTACCCATCCTGTGCATGAGTGTGGAAATGTGTATATTGTAATCAATATGCATCGTTCTGCTCAGAAAGGTACGCTTGCTATGATTATCAACCGTTAACATCAGCAGTGGGCACTAAGAACTGAGCCACCCTATGACCTGTAGAATAAAAAAACCAAAATCTTCTCACTCAGGGAGTCAAACTCAGGCCCTCACTCACAGCCAAGGGAAAATTTCCATTCTAAACATCTCACACATATCTCTGAAATGGTATAGTCTGGAGGTTTGCTTCTCTTAACTCAGTAGTTAACAAAACCATTATTAAGTCATGTATCGCTAAAAAATGTTTTCTGAGCACTTAATCTGCAGTCTGAAAGACAAAGACTGTGGTCATTTTACTACATAGAAACCACTTTCAAAATGTATCAATTTAAAAATGCCTTTGAGAAGGGCAGTTTAGAAGTAGGTAAGCCTGCATAGATAAGGGTGAATGCCAATTCCTGAAAAGAAATTTAGCTATTTAGTGCCTTTTATTTTTCCCTGAATAAAATAATATATGCTTAATTAAAGCATATACCTTGATGAGCATTATCAGCAAAGTAAATCCCGAGCTCAGAAAAAAGGCAACAGTCTAGAACTCAAATTTCATGTAGGAGACTAAAAGATGCACAGTACAACTTGGGAACAGTCTTAAAAAAAGATAGCAGAAGATTATTGCTAATAGTGTATCAGGAATTAAAACTTATATTACTCGCACCACTCTGCTTAGATAGAACTTATTCCATCCCAGATTGTCTACAAGCACTAGATCTGAGGGCACAGACAGCTATCCCAAAAATATCCGGATATAGCACAGTAACCATCTTTAATTTCCTATTAACTTAATCTGGATCCCTGTATAACTTATACTGTTATATCATGACTGATCTTAGTTAAATCTGATTTGCTTGATTGCTGTTTGCTATTAACAGATTTTATTCAAAACTGTTAAGGTTGATAGTATCAAATCAGAGAGTATAGACAACTATACCGAAAATGACAATGATTCACTACGATACCCATTCTGGTTTGATTACTACCTGTTTTTGCAGTTCTACATTACCTAAAAAGTTGTATTTCTATTAATACTGTTATGTACTGATATATGCAATTATACTTTGTCTGATGATATAGCCAATTCTATTGATGATAACAAGAGACAACTCAGTAACCATGGTAGAACTCCTTGTACAGCAGTCTTTTTAGTTTTATATGTCTATAGGAATATGTTTTGTTCTGTCCTGCTTTGTTCTGTTCCTCCCTCTAATATAGAAAGGATAGAAATACATGTTAAGACATATACTTGTGTAAAAGCTATAAACAGTTTACGAGAACTGATCTTATGACACATGATGAAATGAACAAATACTTTGAAGGAAAAAAAAGCAGTACAGGACCCAAAGCTGATTGTGGAGTGTCATGATGTGAAATCCAGCAATACTACTATTCTTTTTCAGAGTGATTTTAGTCTGCTTTGGTTTGTTTAATCTCAACATTAATGAAGATATGGATAAATGTATGTTTAAGTGTATAGGATTGATAACCATATTACTAAAATTTTATTAAACTACTTGCAGTCTCCCTGTTTGAATTCCCATTTATATGCTCCACTTTTGTATCCTGAACAATTATTTGTAAGAGGACAATATGTAAACAATATCAATTAGTGATTTGTTTACTTTTTTTCTTTGAAAGTATATACTATTTCTACCCGTTTTCTGTTTTGTATTGTCTTTCTTTAAATAAAATTTTTAAAAATTTCATGTAGGAAATTTGCTAATTTATGTGTGGTTCCTAGTGAACTTTTGAGTGACCTACATAATAAAGGACTAAATAGGATATCATGATCTGTGTCTAGATGTTCTGCAAAGCTTCATGCGGTCATAAGGGTTCGGCCTTTCGAAGATGGCTGAGTCTACCATTTGTGATTGTCTAGTGCTGGGACTGGCAGTGTGAGTGCTGCACCTGCCCACGAGAGGTTGTCCAGTATACAATATAAGAAGGGAAGGAGGTATGTGGTCCCCTTCACTCCTGTCGCTTACGCAGCCATGAACAGCTACCCCTTAGCCACGCCACCCTGCCTTGGAGCCAGCTGAGTATGGACTGAGAGCTCCACTATAAGCTAAATAAATCTTTTCTTCCTTCATTTTGGGCATTAAGTATTTTGTCTCAGCAACGAGAGAAAAGTAACCAACACATAGGGCCTTGTGTCAACTAATGTATGTGATGAATATCTTAGCTGCTCCAGGATGATAACTACAGGGGTGGGACCACAGGTGTGGTATACTGTCAAGAGTGAGATCAGGAATAGGAAAACCTGGAGCCAACCTTTAATTGCACCACTCAATGTGACTGAACAAAGTCACCGAACTTCTGTCTTATGAGCAATATGGCAATTCTGTCACAGGGTTCCAAGGAGAAAAATAAATATAAAACATTAGAAAATCAGAGAAGGCTGTAAAAGTATTTTAGTAATATTAATTATGTCATTTCCTTAGTTACTTTGACACAAATGCTCACTAAGCAGAGTTACCCTATATATGGATATGGCCATTATTAGAAACAAAAATCTTTGTTTCTTTGGTTTATGACAGGGTCTTGCTATGCAGTCCAGGCTGGCCTTGAACTTGCAGCAATCCTCCTGCCTCAGTCTCTAAGTTCTGGGATTATAGGCATGCATTACCACACCCAACCCTAAAAACAAGTATCTTGATCTACAGAAAACTTCAGTGAAAGTATTTAGAAAGATTTACAATTATGCTTTTTGGTACCTCCTCTCTAAGCAGGGTTTTTGTTTAGTTTAGAAGAGTGAACTGAACAAACTCCTATCTTATTCTAAACCTGTACTAATTTAGAACTTTATGAAAAGTTACAGACACTCAAGTTAAAAGTGGATTCTAACCTTGCTTTTACTTCACAGTGACAATGGAAACTAATATCACTGTTTAAGTCTCTGAATTTAAAACCAAATACCTTTTTAGCCATGTGCTTTTAAATGACAAGGCAAGGCAGATTTAAACTTTGCCTTGAAAAACATTTTACCTAATGGATTCATAATTTCAGTATTCACGCACATATCCCAGCTATTAGGTATACAGAGATACTGTCTTTGAAGAGCTCAGACAAAACTTGATCTAACTTTCCAAGTGCATCTTTGTGAAGAGCTTAATTGTATCTGTTTCAGAGAGCACGTATGTACAATATCATTTCAGAGTCACAGGCATAATTTTCAGAAGCATAAGAGACACCCTTTGGCTGACACAAGAGACATGTTTAGTGACCAGTGCTTGGCCTCATGAGGCAGTCCATTCCTCTCCAGGGCCCACTGATGGCTCTGAAAAGTCTAACAATGAGCTGGAATCTCCTCCTCTGGGACCTTCACTTACTGGTTTCAGTTGCCCTCTAATCCTTCATCTAAGAGTGCTGGAAGAAAGCTGCCTTGCTGTACTCAACCAAAACATTCTCATTCTCAGTTTGTCTATCCTCTGTTACATTATTCACACTTGGTCTCCAAATTCCTCCCTTCCCCAGGTCTTCCTTTGGCTTGCCCTGTCATGACAACACTCCTCAAAATCTCTAAGGTGCATAACTCAACAATCAATCTTCAAACTGAGTAAAAAAAGGCTTTTTTTTTTTTTTTTTTTTTTAAAGTCAGGCTCTCACTATGTATGTAACTCAAACTAGCCTCCAACTTATCCTGAGTGTTGGTACAGAGCAGCAGAACACTAGAATCATGCTTTTAACATCAATAGTCACCAAAACATTCATGTTTCAATTTGTTCTGTTTTTTGGTATACATTAGAAGTATATGAAAACTTCTTTTTTTTAGCTCATTTATATTTTAGTGCTGTGCTAACACTGAATTGGTGGTGAATTCTTCATTTTGAAGGCAAACCAGCCATTTAAAAATCTAATTAAAGCAAGAATTAATTAGTTGGACTTGTGATACAGTACAATAATATGCAACTCAAACTTTTTGCAGGCACTCATGAACAAAATCTAGAATTTGTTCCCCAATTGTTACTGAAGCAATTAAAATAAGAAATATGCATCTTCACTAGGCTAACAAGGGAGTCCTGAGGCAGATAGTTTTGTGGGGAAAGCATATTTAATAGTGGTTTTATTACCTGGTTTCTGCTAACATAAACATTTAGTAACAGAATCATTTATAATGTCTATAAAAACCAACAAAATACTGTTTGTAAGAAGTACCCTTAAAGAGGGTATTATCAGTAAGCTTGCTTATTTTGTGACACAGTGAAATCTCACGGCAATCAAATCATGTGTCCATTTGTTAAAAATATATTTTGGGAAAATATAAAATAGAAACACTGATTTTATAAACATTTCACACTTGATTTTGAAATGGTTCTCCTCAGGGAGAACCTCTGCAGGACATCTTTGAGGGTACTTTTACTCTTCCTCAGTAGCAAAACATTATCTGGCACATACAAGCAGGCTTTGCTCTGATTATTTCCTAGCTTCAGATATCACAATCTTTTTTTTCCCTGTAGAGTGGCTTCTTAAAAAAAAAAAAAAAGTCTTGTACATTTTGGGGTGTTTTCTTTTGTTAAAAAGTATAGGACATCAAACCCTGGGCCTTGTACATGTTAGGCAAGTGCTCTACCTGAATTATAGCTACTTTATAAATTTTGTAATTTACAAAATTACACCAGGAAGCAAATCGTTCTGTTTGGGTATTTGGTGTTTTCAATGAAGATTATTTTATTTGTTTTGCCTGTTTGAGACAGGGTTTCTCTATGCAGTTAAGGCTGACCTTGAACTCACTTTGTAGTCCAGGCATCAGCCTCGAGTGCTGGGATTACAGGCATGTGCCACCACACCTGGCTCTTCAATGAAGATTAAAAACAAAACATCCTCTAAAACTCAAAAAACCACCACAGAAGACTTAAATGATATAAGATTTGGATGTAATTATAATTTTCCCCATGTTAACAGTAATACAAACTCCAGTGCTAATTAGTATTGAGTTCACTCTGGAGGCAATATTAAGTGAAGAGATCCCTCCTGTGATACTAAACAATATAAATAATGGAGAAATTGATGCAATTTGATTTTTCAGTCACTGAGGCCTTCGTAGAATGCACAGAATGATAAACTTCCTAAGAAGTAGTTTGAATCAGCCATGAAAATATTTTTCTATGTGCAACCTTAGCTACATTTTCCCTATTGTTTGTAAATTAATCAGGGCTGACTGAAGGAAAATCATTTTACAAGTGTGTAGATGAAAGACAATGATGTCAACAGAGACCATGCACAATAAGACAATTGGCATACCTACCCTTCGGGCATGGACTTTTGCCTGTAAGTACCCCCACCAGACCCAGTCTCGCTGGATGAAGACAGGTTGCTAGGGGAGTTACGACACTGGGATCTTGCTAAAGCCATGGATGATACTGTCACATAGATGTCCGAACCAGGAGACAGGCTGCATGTGCAAATCAAAAATACGAAGTCAACAATTCAAAGGGAAAAATCCCAAGGCAATCCATGATGGATAACATCATATTAATGTGACAAAAGCAGAAATTTCATGGTGATAGTGAAAATGAAGCCAGCTGGAGCCCTACAAAAGACATTGCCCTATAAAACTGCTCTCTAGGGGAACAGCTGGAAAACTGCCTTGAAAGAGTGAGTTGTGTTAAAAAACAAAGGGGTAAAAAGTAAAAAATATGTATGCTTCCAAAGCTGTTAGAATTCAAGTGTTGAACTGCTTCTGCAGGGTCCTAGTAGGGCACAGCAGAAGGTAACTGAACCCAACTGACATTAATATAGCAATGAATAACAATTCTTCACACTAATATTCTGAGTACACAAGCACAGTGAGACCCATGCATTCTCTGTATGCTTGTTTTCCAATTTTAATACTCCATGTTCAAAATGAATATTCAGACTGTCAATACTTTATAATTTTGGTTGATGGCAGCATTACCACATAAGAATCTTCATAAAAAATGCATAGACTTGGAGTTGTCAGACTTGGAGTTAATTAGAATTACTGAATTTACATCACTTCAAAATAGAGATGATGATGATGGCCCCTAATATATCTACTTATAAAGCTATAATGCTCTTTTATTCAGCCAACTGACTGTTGAGGCAGAAACCAAAATTCTGTGGTCAGAACAGACAGTTTTTACTCCTACTGCTTTGGGCCAACCATATAAGGATGTTTGAACCTGCAATCAGGTTTATACTAAACTTTAGTAACAATGATATTTTAAAAGCAAATGCTGACACACATCTCTTAACTCTTACAGTTGGGCAGGTAAGTTCCATTCAAAAGCTGAGGAAGTGAAATCTAGATCACTTGAGTGGAATCTAAATCATAAGCCAGGTTTCCAGATTCTAAATCCACTATATTCTATGCAGAACTCTTGTGATCCTTCATAGAAGGATGGGTTTCCTTTTCTTAATTAGACAGTTTGCAGTAAATAGATCTCTATGGTTAAACAACTTTGTGCATAAAGCTATATTAAACTCAAGCAAAGTTAGTTGGAGCAGAACCTGATTCACTGGAACAAAGAAGGTCATTCCCACAAGCCTTCTGCAGCAAGGGGCAATGGGGTTTTAAAACATGAAAAGCTGATAGCAGGGATAACAGGATCACATTGAGAAGCTTTTTGAATAAAGAATAAGTATAGATACTAAGAAGTATAATCCCAAGTTTATGCCTATGAAGTAAACTCATCTGAAAGCCCAGAGCTCTCTCTAGTTGTCTCCTAGACATTTTTATCCAACGTTTTTACCAGAGATTCAAATAAACCCTTTAAAAACAAATAGGTTTTCTCCATGCCTCAATGATCCAAACTAGACCCTATGTTTACTATGTCAAGCTAAACACCCTGAAGCCATTTCTTCCTATCCACACCTTCCAGAGTTAGTTGGCCTAATTAAATTCAACTATTATTTTCTGAGCACAAACTGTGTGTTAGCCACTCTGGGCACTGGTCTTTAAAACACAGAGACAAAAAAAGATACCTGGTCTCCAACTTGCTGATTTTTCTCTCAGCTCTCTCATTTCCAGCCTGTAAACAGTCTTCTGACTGAGGCACTTGTTCTAGACTCTCTCCACTCCATCCCTCCAATGCTCCCTGCCATTCCTTCTCCAACAAGTCATGCAACTCTTAAAAAAGTTAAACTTTCTCTTTGCCTACAGGATAGGAGACCAAACTCCCTGATTTTCTATCTCAAAGCTACCTAACCATATATTTATCTCCAACCTCCCTTAAATTGCCCCCTGCATCTATACCTTGGGAAGGTTGACTCAGACTCCCATCACAGTCACACATTTGTCAGTCTTGTTCCCCTGCCTAGATGGCTTCCCCCTTTCCTACTCACAAGACATTTTCCCTCAAGGTCCAATTGCAACCATCATATCTCTCAATTCACAGAACAGAACCTCTTTAAATCTCCAAGTTTGTTCTTTGCACCATCAAAGCACATCCTATAGAAAGGTTAGTTTTGTGCTGTCTCCCTACTACAGTCTATATTAAAGGAAAAAGACTGTGCCTTATTTATCTTTACATCCATCTTTAATCTGTGTGTTTTTTTTTTTTTCCTTTTTATCGGTACCAGGGATTGAACTCACAACTGCATGCTTGCAAGGCAGGCGCTTATGCTGCTGAGCTAAATCCCCAGCCCCTAATCTATGTTTTTTATAAGATGGAAAATCCTGTTAGAGGTGTATCCACTGAGGAATAGAAGAGGGTTCTGGCTAGGGGCCTATATAGTTACATCAGATGCCCAAGCCAGGCATGGTTGATCACCAACAACAATGTGGTAAAAATCTGTAAGTAGTCTATAAAGACAATTATAACAAAGTTAATATATGATTTCTTAACCACAAGAAATGAAGATGGAGTTACAGGTGGTAGAATTACATCATAATATTAACTTCATGCATACCATCAATCTTACAAATATAGAGAGCTTTCTGTTCTAACTAGTATGAAACTGGATAAAGTATGACAACCTTAGGAAAAATCTTTGGGGAATGTGATGAGAAGTTTAGAAAGAAGACAGGCTTTCTAAGCTTGTCTCGTCATTGTCAGCAATCTTTTATTTTTATTATTATTTGAGGGGGTAACTAAAATCTGTTACATGCTTTTTCATGTGATTGATGCAGTTCGAAAACATTAATTTTCACATATGTCTGAGATACTTGCTTTTGTGTTCCACTATTCATTTGAGTTGGAGTTGATCCCACACTGTATCTACTTCTTTAATCATCACAAATTCTGATACTGCTTGGGACTCAGAGATGCTCAGTCTGCTACACAGATCCTGAGAGAATTTTAAATCATGGATAATGTACAAGGCAGCTCTGGTGGGTCAAAAATGAGCAGAACTATAGCTCATCCCTACTTTGGTAACATATTTTGATAGAAGACTAAGCTATTTATCTAGATTCAACAAAAAGCATGTCTTTATACTCTTTTCCACCAGAAATCTAAATTTGTCACAGGTAATTAACTGAAAGGAGATTAGAGTGGGAAGTGGAATGGGTGGAGTAAATTACAAAAAATCCTAACGACTAAGGAATGGTACAAATTCAAATGTAACAAGATACCACACCCAATCTGCCTTAAGAGTTTAGCTGTTACATGCATCTAAATACATACAGAAAAACTACAGTTTCATTTTGTAGCTGCTTTAATTTTCTTATTACAAAGAGGAAGGTGTTAAGTGGGGGCGGGGGGCCAGCAGTAGAATATGAAGATAACTGGTGTAACATCTGGAGGCCTGGTGACTTTCCGAATCTCTTCTGAATAAACATACAATGGCAATGAATTATATTTATGAGCATGGGTAGATGTTTATGCTTTGAAGAAGTGAAAACATCATTCCTTAAGAAAAGTTAAGATATAACTGGAATATCTGTCTTTAGAGCTTGCTATCCCTAGCCTGTTTTCCAAAATGTATATTAAGCTAAAATATCTCATGCTAGTTCTCAACCTCAATTCCTTTTATTTGGCAAATGTATCAGAAAATTTTATTTGGTTACTGGAGTTATCCCAAAATTAAAATATATATATTTCCAGAAGGCTGGCATTTCTTCCTCTCATTTTTTGGATTTATATAACTCAATAGTGGTTTTGTTTTCTGACTGTTCACACACACAGAGCAACTGATAGAATGCCACCCAAATGTTTTCACTGCTCAAGATGTATGTATGGTGGGCAAAGAAACATTCAAAATTAGCCCTTATTCTTGTGACATACTACTTCACTATTCTTTTTAAGCACTCTGGATTTGATACCACCACACAGATATTTGAGGACAGAACTATACAGGAAACAGAAGGTGCTGAAGTCCACATCAGTAGACTGGAGCAAGATAGTGGCCACTGGAAATTGGCCTGTTGCTTCCCTGCCACACTGAAGAGGCACTCGGAGAACTAAAAGGAAGTCAGTGGATGACCTGAACCTGTCCGTCCAGGCTCCACTTCACAAATGTAATCTGCTTTAAGAGTTTCTGTGTCCAGTGACTTCAGAGCAAGAGCAGAGTCACGGAGTCTGCTCTTCTGAGACAAATCCAGCTCTTTCTTCTCTAATCCTTTTTTTTTTTTCCTCCTTAAAGACAGTCACTTTGTTGCCCAGGCTTGGCTGTGAACTCACTGCGATTCTTCTGCCTCAGTCTTCTGAGCACTGGGATTACAGGCCTGTACCACCACACCCAACTTCTGGTCTAGTCTTAAAGGGCCCCAAATACCTGCTATTAATGAGAATGAAGATTAATACCTCTTTCAATTGCCATGAGAACTTTCAATTCTGTCAAATATAAGAAGTAATCTTTTTTAAGAATAATCAAAAAGGAATTTCCTAAACCTTTTAGCATTAATTTCAGAAGATTCTCTTCCTAAATTTTAAAACTGTATTCAAGAAACAGGTAAATATTTTAAAAATAACCTAGACTATACATTGTCTGGTGCTCTCCTTCTTCCCACTGCAGAAATAAAACATTAGATTTTTAAAAAAATTGTACCAAGAACAGAGCAGCTGAAATCTCATGATCATTAGCACCAACAGACAGTATGTCCATAGTGTACAGGACCACATGTAAGTCACCTTTTCATTTATATGCAATGTATTTCATTGCAAAGAAAGCAAAGCCTTGAAGGGGCTGGAAATTTAGGAACAGATGGTGCAAGATCATTTCTCCAGCAGTATTTTCATACTAGGATTAAAAAGCTGTCAAAAATATTCCAGATTTCTAATACAATAACACCTACCCTTTCAATCTTTCCCTAACATAAATTAACCTACCGCAACTACATTAATTGTGTCCATAGTAGCAGACTGACTAAACCTAATCTCCAGACTGTGACTGATTGCAGTTTATCAAGCTATCAGTAAGGAAGTTAATGCTAAAATAGTTTCCTCAGTATTTAGAATTAATTACACATTTATTTCTTACTTTGATCCA